ATTACAAAAAAAAAAGAGAAAAAAAAGAAAAACCAAGAAAAAAAAAAAAAAAAAGAAAAAAAAAGAAAAGAAAAGAAAAAAGTTTGCAGTAAAGAAGCCAGCCAAAACCCACCAAAACCAAGATGGTGACAAGAGTGACCTCTGGTTGTCCTCACTGCGACACTCCCACCGGCACCATGAGTTTACAAATGCCATGGCAGGCCGGGAGCGGAGTCTCATGCTTGTAATCCCAGTCCTTTGGGAGGCCAAGGTGGCTGGATCACCTGAGGTCAGTCGTTCAAGACCATCCTGGCCAACATGGTGAAACCCCGTCTCTACTAAAAATACAAAAATGAGCCGGGCACGGTGGTGCATGCCTGCAATCCCAGCTACTAGGGGGGCTGAGGCAGGAAGGTCGCTTGAACCCGGGAGGCAGAGGTTGCAGTGAATGGAGACCACGCCACTGGACTCCAGTCTGGCCAACAGAGCGAGACTCCGTCTCAAAAACAAAACAAACAAAAAAATGCCATGGCGACATCAGGAAGTTACCCTTTAGACCCTATATGGTCTAATAAGGGGAGGCATGAATAATCCACCCCTTGTTTAATGTACCATCAATAAACAACCATAAGAATGAGCAACCAGCAGCCCTGCCCTGTCTGTGGAGGAGCCATTCTTTTATTCCTTTAATTTCTTTTTTTTTTTTTTTTTTGAGACGGAGTCTCACACTGTCGCCCAGGCTGTAGTGCAGTGGTGTGATCTCGGCTCACTGAATCTCCACCTCCTGGATTCAAGCAATTCTCCTGCCTCAGCCTCCCAAGTTTACAAATGCCATGGCAGGCCAGGAGTGGTGTCTCATGCTTGTAATCCCAGCACTGGCATTATAGGCGTGAGCCACCATGCCCAGCTAATTTTTTTGTATTTTTAGTAGAGACGGGTTTTCACCATGTTGGCCAGGATGGTCTCTGTCTCCGGACCTTGTGATCCGCCCACCTCACCCTCCCAAAGTGCTGGGATTACAGGCGTGAGCCATCGCGCCCAGCCCCTTTAATTTCCTTTATTTATTTATTTTTTTTTTTGAGACGGAGTTTCGCTCTTGTTA